TGGTCTTCTCCTCCTGCTTTGTGGCAAATGACTCCACACTCTTCACTTTGGCTAAGATGCTTCCAGGTAAATACTGACCTCTGACCTCTGAGCCACAGGTCATATCAATAGATTCAGGTGTTGACATTTATCAAAACGTGTAAATGTCACTGTTCGTCAATACATGTTTCGTATTTATATTTTTGGGCTCATGTTTCAGACGACATATTTCACGTTTTTTACATTGTAGAAGAGGTGAATAGTATCTCAGGGTTGAATGTTTAGAGGGAAATCATCGCCACTGGTTTCAAGGTGTGTTCACTGTACAGGGTGCGAGATCTACTCTGATGCAGGGAACCATGCATCAATGATTCAGGGCATCAGGAACAGCGGAGCCAAGCGATTCATCTTCCGCCACAACAACAGCCGACACCTGGAGGAGCTGCTGCAACGCTCTGACCCCAAGACACCCAAAATAGTGGCATTTGAGACCGTGCACTCGATGGACGGTGAGTATTGTTGAAATGTTAATTTGCAGTGATTTATTGAATTAATCAGATATACGGTGGAAGGCAAACCTATACTTACTTACTTAAACTTATCCTTTATATGCAGAAACAGTTTAGATATAAATCTGAGACTGATGAGTAAAGTAGTTTTTAAAAGAAAAACATATAATGCAAATATATGTATGTGCTTTTAATGTGGTTACTGTACATTGGAGGATATGTGGTTATGAAACTCCCTAGGTCACAGTTTAGCCATAATGTATTTATAGTTTTAATAATAAAATCTAATAACAAAAACTTTATTATTTAAAAATGGGAAAATAAAATAATTTGTACGCGCTGTACAAATCTCAAGAATGTTTATCTGTTTTCAGATAAAGCAAGACTTGCTTTATATTTCTAGAATTTACAGTTTTTCAGTCTGCATCGTCTGTCATTCATCACTGTTTCCCATGAGAGGATATAGACACAGCCCCCTGCTCTGTTTCATTGTTTGATATTACACAGCTGACAGCTCCATCAAACACAAATTGAAGTAGACTCAATGGATGAGTGTGACTATATCCAGGAGGATTTTTTAAAAACACAAACACAAAAAGTTTGTTTTGATGTAAATGTTAGAAGATTTTCAGATTTTAATATTGCAAAGGGTGTAAATAACTCCACATACATTTCAGCATATACTGTAGGTCATATCCAGATCTTATACAGTGATGACATTTGCCGCTCAGATTTCCTGCTGTTCACCTATATTGCACGGTTCTAAAAATACCACCTTATTCTCTGGGGCTTTCAGGTGGCATATGTCCCCTGGAAGAGCTGTGCGATGTAGCTCACCGTTATGGAGCGCTTACGTTTGTTGATGAAGTTCACGCTGTGGGCCTGTACGGAGCCCATGGAGCTGGAGTGGGAGAGAGGGACAATGTTATGCACAAGATTGACATTGTTTCTGGGACCTTAGGTGAGTATCTCTTTAAGAAATCCACTTTGTGTCCTTTTTAAAATTTATACACAAGTAAGCCGACTGTTTTGTTTAATCTCTATTTTGTTATGAAAGGTATAATAACTATCCTATTTATTAAGACATTAGCTCCTACATCAGTCTTCTGTAAACAAGTCATTTCACTATGACACAAAAAAGGGCAAGGCAAACAGATCTTCTTGGCCAAACTCTTATTTACAGCCACTTGCACTAACTGACACTTTCATACTGCCAACAAGGCAGCAGTAGCTCTCAGCCAGCACGATACTGCTCTGATGTTGGTTAAATAAGGACAGGAGAAGAGGAGGGGTCTTATCAGCTGGGTGCCTGCTCAACTCCCTCTCTGGTTGCACTGATAAAACCATCATCAGCGAGTCCATGCTGTGTGTAGGGTTTTAGGTAGAAATCCCTGTCAAGCTCACATCAAGTGTAAACTAATCCTGGATTACAACGCTTGACTTTACAAGGCATGGTTGCGAGTGTGGACTTGGCAATAAATAAAGCTCAAACTGAAATAACAAATTAATAGCGGTGTATTAACCATAGACTGTATAGTCAGCACATAAAATTTACTGATATGAAATCTGATACATTATGGTGATGACAATTATTCATCAATTTATTAAATTATCTAACTCTTTAAAATTATAATGTTTGGGATTCAATGAGTTTAGTCTCACTGTCTATATATATCTATATGTAATTATTGCATGTAATTAATGCATTATTATTGTGGTGGAGAAAGTGTCCATCAGATTCTTTATTTTAGTAAAAGTAGCTATACCACAATGTGAAAATACATAATAACAATCAACTAGCATTCAGAATTACAGAGGGATAATTGATAAATCTACATATGCCTTAAAAATAGTACTCATTATGCATTGTGTTAATCATTATATTATTATTATAACAATAATAATTACACAATAATTGTATACACTGTTGTAGTTTAATCTGTAACAATACAGATTTTATATGCTCATCAAGGAATAGTTTTGTAAATTTTTATAAATGTCAAATAAATGCATGGGGTAGAATCTTTTTTGAAATCTAATTTAATGTAGTGTAAAAGTACTATAAAGTGGAAATGCTCAAGCTAGGTATGTTACATTTATACTTGATTAAATGTACTTACCATCATTAATTAATTACCTGTCTGTTGCTGTTCCAGGCAAAGCCTTCGGCTGTGTTGGAGGCTACATTGCCAGCAGCGCCACTCTGGTGGACACAGTGCGCTCCTTCGCAGCCGGCTTCATTTTCACCACCGCCCTGCCCCCGATGGTACTGGCTGGAGCCCTTGAGTCTGTTCGGGTTCTGAAGAGCCCAGAGGGGCAAGTGCTCCGCAGAGCGCACCAGAGGAACGTCAAACACATGAGGCAGCTGCTCATGGATAAGGGCTTGCCCGTGGTCAACTGTCCCAGCCACATCATCCCCATACGGGTATGACAATTTTGCAGGGCTGATGCCTCCATTACCGTATCTCACTCCACCAACTCCTCAGCTGACCATTCTAGCAGCTGTAGAACATCTTTTAGGTCAGAGCAATGTTAGTAAAGCAATTTATTTCATGAAGAAGCACAAGTCTGTTGTTAATTTCATTATTGTCACAGAGAATTATCTTACAGTAGGAACTGGATAAAAACATATTTACCTGATATATCATTAGGGAAGAACTCTGACAGTTTCAACAATTTTCCTTTGTATATATGCTAAATATCAATCAAACACTTCCCTTTATTGTAAGCCTTTTCAAGAGCATCACTGTATAAGCCTTTTCCATTTTATAGGAAAAGTGTAAATAATGAAATTAATGATGGCTTAATTTCATGCTGGCTCACAAAATGTCTTCTGTAAAAAAGCTTAATGTATACTCGCCCACTTAACTTAATAAGTACAGCTGAACATGGAGTCTGTCACTGGAATAATTAAACTTTTTCAGTGCTTAATTATAATCTAAATTATAATTTTTAAAAAGCAATTATAAGTCGTTAGGTTAATTAAATTTACATTTAAACATTTAAATCACGTAAACTTAAATCTTTCTGTGATACCATTTATTTTGGTTCCATTTTAAATTTTACATTTTAAATTTAAAGTGAATTATGAATGCATCATATTTTTTAATGCATCATTTAAACTCAAATTGACTAAATCAATCTGTAATTACTTTTTTTAATGCATAATATGACCATGTAACTAAACACAGAAGACTTCTGTAATAATTCCAGGGACATACTCTTGACTCCATAGATCAGCCACAGTAATGGCTTTGATTCCCACATGGATGACCTGAATGTGCTGGATAAAAGCTAAAGGCTCATATCACCTTTCATGGTGCATTTTCTAGGTGGGCAACGCTGAGCTGAACACCAAGGTGTGTGACATTCTGCTGGAGCGACACAACATCTATGTCCAGGCCATCAACTACCCCACAGTGCCTCGTGGTGAGGAGCTGCTGCGTTTGGCTCCGTCTCCTCATCACAACCCCGCCATGATGGAGTACTTTGTGGGTGAGTGTGGGAATCCTTACCAAAAGAGTTTTTCTAGTTAAACGCTCAATCAAGTTAAGTGGGGACAATGGCCAGTACAAGTGACATGTTTGTTGTTAGTGAGTCTTTTTGATTTGTAAGTATATATGAATTTTTTGGCATCCACTTGTCACCATATACTGCAATGCAGTTAAATGACAATACTCTGTAGAGATCTTAAAATAGTTGACTCTTAGTAGCAAAACTGACCGCATGTCTGAGTGTGTGCTTGCAAAAATGCCCAGAGATTTTAGCTTATAAGACAGAGAAGTAAAAGAGAAATAAATATTGGCCTTTAATTGTTCATTCTCATAAATGACTGTTTCATTCACAGATAAACTGGTGGAGGTGTGGCAGGAAGTAGGGCTCCTGCTCAACAGCCCGGCCACGGCCTCCTGCACCTTCTGTGACCGCCCGCTGCATTTTGAGCTTTTGAGTGAATGGGAGAAATCCTACTTCGGCACCATGGAACCACAATACATTACTGTGTCTGCATAATACCTAAAACACAAGCTACACATACCATATATGTATACATTGTGGACTTTCTTTCTGTTATCTTGTATTTATGCTTACTAAATTGTGTCTGCTGTCATGGATATGATTAAAGAAAACCTCCATTTTAAAAGCATAAAACCTGCACACCGGTCACTTTCATAAATCAATTATCTAGGTGTGATGGTTTGAATTAAACTATGATATTAAATTACACGTTGCATGATTTCCTTCATACAATATAATCATCATTAGCATCATGTTTTGTTTCCATAACAATTCAGTTACTGATGTTTCAGTCATGAAATGTATGAACAACCAAAGTTAACTGGTTCATGAATTAAGGCATAATAAACACTTGGTAAATTTGTGTTGTTGAATATCGCTAGCATTCACATACATAATTCACTGATCCTTAAAACATAACATTGAAATTGGAAGACATAATGTGAACTGAAGCACTGTGCCCTCAAAGAAACACCAAACATGCGGTAAAAAAAATTGGGGAAAGTTTCTCTCCAATTAGAGCATTCGTCCATAATACAATAACTTGAGGTAGGGGAGAGTGGGGTGAGTTGAGCCAGTTTTTACTTGAGGTGTCTTTAAAGTGAGGACATGACAGTAATGTCTCCAACTAAAATATGTATGCAATATGTGGTGCATCACTGGGAACCATCAGTTTAGATCTAAAATAAACTGTTCCAAAAAAAAGTGGACTCTTGGCTCAACTTGCCCCACATGAGGGGTAAGTTGAGCCATATGGGGGTCGGGGACATCATGTCATTTCCTTGTGCAAACTCAAATGCCAGTTCCCAACATTTAATTGCACTTAGATAGTGAAACATTGCAGCTATGTCTCCTAGTTGTTTCATATGAATGTATTGCTTTAAAGTCATCCTGTTTCTCATCATGTCACCTTATGTATGTACTTCCCATTTTTTTACCTCTCCCACTACTCTGTCCAAACCCACAATAGGAGTTGAAGCCTGTCTGTCTTCCATTCATAGAAGCATGACATGATGGTTTCTGGTCTAAAATGCATATGTCACATCATTTTAGTGATGCATAAGAATGCAATGTAAAATTACAGTAAAATAGCTGGTTATACTTCCCCCAGGTCTTTTGGGCTCAAATTACCCCATCCCTGCCATTTTAACAAAATTGTGTCATCCAGCGGTTTAAGACTAAAGTCATGCTAACATTACAGCTTCATATTGTAACTTCCTAAAGCACTAACACATTTTCAACAGATTTTCTCAAACCTCTCAGTAATTGTTCAGACACAAGAATCAGGACTCCTTGAACATAAAAAAAAATCACATTTTTTTATCTTAAATGTGCTTATCAGTTATTCCATGGGCCTTCTCTCCATCACAGGGTGAGTAAAATGGATGACTCAAAAATGTGTATTCACATGACCAATTTTGTCTATGGTTGCAGAGAAACAAGGGGTGGCTCAACTTCCCCACAGGCTCAAATCACCCCGCTCTCCCCAACAGGCATTGACCTGGCAACGTAATATAAGCTCGGCTGGAGCTCCTGTGTGATTCTGACTATCAGCACTAGTTGACATTGCAGGGACTGGCCACTTCTCGTTTGACCCTTGTCCTCAGTCTGCGGAGCTCTGCGTTCTCACTGTCCACGACAAGGCCACATTCAATTAATGTCCAGGCTTTACTAAGCTGCTCCTCCCCATAATGCTGCAGCGCCCCCCGCAGGAAGCACTCAGCCAGACGCAGCCTCCCCAGACCAGCCTCAACACACTGGATGGCCAGGTTCCTGTGGAGCTCCAAGGCCCGAGTGAAGTCCTCCAGAGCTGCTCCTTCTCTGGAACAGAGCACCAGGCTGCGGCCACGCAGACACAGGTCCTCCACCCAGACTTGGGGGTCGTCTGAGCATCTGGAGTCGGATCCACCGTGTCTCTGGATAACTCTGTCCAGGTCAGTTATAGCCCGCTCGTGTAAGCCCAGCTGAGCGAGGCAGGCAGCCCGCTGGCGAAGATACTGGAGTCTGTGATTACCCACAGCTTGTACTGCCACAGTCAGGAGTGTAAGGGCCTGATCCCACTGGCCACCTGATGACACATTGCTGGCTTCCTGTGCTGCTGCCTGTTACAATATTGATGCAAAGCATTTAATGTGAATTTTACAAATGCATAAATACAATATATTTACAATACATAGATTAAGGAAATAATCCCAAGCCCTGTCTTGTAAGTTTTGTAAAATTGTTTATTGATGTTCTCCATCATCATACAATATGCATACTTTTCCATCTTCTCTGACCTTACTGTCCATTTCAAACATATGAAATATTTAGCGTGATATGTTGAGAGAGAACCTCCTAAAATTGATGGATATGCCACTGCAGTTTTGTACAGTTTATTTATTTTTTTGTTTTTGACATACTATATTTTAGCCTACACTGTCTTAAAACATAAAAAGTGAAGTAAACAAGCATGATACCATGTAAACACACCAGACAGAACAGATGAAATCAAAATTATAAAAAATGATCTTAAGAAAAGATACCACGGGCCTCATAGAATCAGAAAGGAGCTCTTTCAGTGTGATAACACTGAAAAACAACACCACAAATTCGATCTTCAATGAGTGAGTGATCTCGTCTTATTTATTTGATAATTTCAGTGACATATATGGACGGATGTATTTTAGTTTATTTCATTTTATGTTTTGTTCTTTTGACTTTTGACTATATTGCTATCTATGAAAAATCAGAAAATGATTTTTGTCCTGTTGTGCAGATAAGATAAAACAAATTTGCTGATGACGGTAGACTAAAAAAGGCAGCCATAGCCAGCACAAACAACTTTAGCAATGGCGCTCATTCTATGCTGAATCTAGTATTCCTGCAGTAGGCCTACCTGTGCCATGCGTTTTCGCTGATTGGATGGGATCAGGGCCAGCAAGAAGTCCAGGCTGGATGAATCTTTCTCACTCAGTTTGCTGAGCCTGCAGGCTGCACTGCGGTAGTTCTGCTGCCAGGTCTCCATCACACCCACCCTCGCCTGGGCCACTGCATCTCTTGGCTCCTGGCCAAACACCTGGCACAGATGAGCACCTGCTGCCTTAATTTCACCTGGAGCAGTTGGACCATAACAGCAGGAATAAGGATTACTGTAAACAAGGAGCCCCGGGTTCAATGGTCATTTTTATCAAAGTGGAAACAATGCACAGACTAAACCATAATCTCCCATCCGGACCACTTCCAGTGACCAGAGAATTTCAGAAGCAAAGTTTGGAAAAGTTCCACTCTCACCTTTGGCTAAGAGTATGTCCACATAGAGAAGATGCCATCTGGGGTCTCTGCAGCCAGTCCTCATCAGAGCGCCACAAATTATAAAAGCATCTCTTAGCTGCTCTTCATGGCAGGGGACAGCATTAGTGACCAGGATGTCGGACAGATTGGTCCGACAGAACTGATGCAGCCAATCACAGACCAGCTTCCGTGCCTTGTCCTTGAGTGACAGGATGTCTATGGTGACTATGTCAGTGTTTATCTGAAGTGCTGCCAGGATGTCTTGAGTGCATTCCTAAGGGGAAAAGGCAGTTTCAATTGCATATTTAAATTGAACATACAACTACAGCTGCACCAGACAATCTTATGTAAAAATTCCTTATCAGCCAGACTTTAAAAGGGACTACAGATGCCAATTAGCTTGAAGCTATAATCTGGTACAGTGCATCAAATGGTAACATTTATGTTTTACTGTACGCTGTCCCTTTTAAATAAATAAATAATAAAATGTATTTGTAAAAGTAAACAGCATCCCATCCCCTGAGATCCTGTAGATCATATTTGTCCAAATTATTCCTAGAGTTAGGTGTGTTTCCTTCTCTGCCAACATGAAATGATTTTGCCTCTTTCTCCCTGCCCATGTTGGTCACCTAAAACATGATACAGGTAGTTTACAGGGGTTGTTTTTTAAACAGTTACCTTTCACTGCCAGTTGCAGCCACTAATGTGTAAAACTGCCTAGAGAAAAGGAACAAACTGTTTAAAGTACTGTACACGTATTGAGCTACGGCATATTTTGAAAGTGTTTCAACTTAACAATACCTTTTGTTGGTTCAACATGAGATAGGTGAAGCCTCTTCCACAGAGGGCCTTAACATGTTTTGGGTGCTCCTTCAGAATGGCACTGAAATCAAAGATGGCCGTCTTTCGTTGGCCCAGCAGGGCATAACACCTCGCTCTCTCTAGCAAAGAGTCAGCTGCCTCGCCACCTTGAACAATACAATTATTTGATTGGTTTCACAATATTCACAGTATTATCATTTTCCATTTTAATGGCTGCTTCGATATTTATACGTAAACAAGCACTGATCCAGACACAGTTAAGTAGTATGTATGATATGTGCTGAAATGGCTTCACATTGACAGATTTCCGCTCAGGTTGGCTGTCTTCTAGTTAAATAATACAGAGCCAGTCTGCTTTGTGTTCAGTGTTGTAAAAGATGTGTACCTCTGCTGAACTGAAGCCAAACACAGAAACAATGCTTCGGGTTTGTGCCAACCATTTCCTTAATCCTGCTAACCGTTCCCCCCTATCTAGATTAGATAAGTATTACCCACTATTAATTAAGTCAACAATCAGAATCTGACAAATAACAACCATTAATATCTCTTCAATCAGATTCTAATCACCAGAGGCCATGATAGCAATGGAGAGATATGCCACAGCCTCCCTGATAGCACTCTCCTCTCGCGTGCCCTCCAGGATGCGTTTCGCAGCAGAGTGGCAGTGTGCCTGCAGCAGTGCTAGGTCCTTCTGTTGTGCCACCGCTAACAGCGAGCGCAAGCAGCTTGTCTCACCGCACTGAACGAGCTTTTTCAACAGCTGTGGGGAAAATGAACAGATATGAAATCTTTATGTCTTTCACTGTAAAAGTTGTAAAATTAGTGAATAAAGGTATTAAGCTTCCTAACCTGACACACTGTGTTGTTACTGTGTCCCTTCAGAATAATGTACATTACAAAATATGATATTCAGTTCAGTTCAGCTGATCATTTGAAATCAGCTGAGACCACACTTTTTATTTTTTGCAGCAGTTTAGCAACTCCATTGTTTTTTATGTAATTACGGTATAATGTGTTACAACACTTCTTAGGGCTTAGGTTAGTTTAATTTTTAAATAGTGACAAATGGCAAACCAAGCCCATCCATGCTGAACATGCTGGTGATTCTACAGGTGTTTTGATGTCTCTCTCTTGTCTGCTGGCCTTGGTTGCAGCTCTGCTGTAGTATATTTGTTTTTGTGTTTGGATTTGCTGTGACACCAGGTTTGACAAAAGCTACATCAACTCATACACAAATTAAGAAATCAAATTAGAGGGGGTGTAAATGAGTCTCTGTGGTTCCTTATTTCTTAAACGTAGGCACTCTGAAGCTGAGTCCAGAGAGCAATTTGAGTGAATGAGAATATCACAAGCCTTTCTCACCATAACACTATCAAGAATTTTGCATGGTTTGTTTTCACTCAGCACTTTATTTTTAATCAAGGTAAAAAAAAAAACATGACCATTTTAGCTGAAGCTTCTAAAATGGGCTACTTTGCAGCAGCAGTTACCAAACATTTATATGTATCTATTTCCCTGTATCACACATACATAGCAAAAGAACAGAAATTTCAAAATATTTTCACACAGAAATCTTAAATGGATAATTGTGTCTGATATATATGCAGAAATTACAGCAGAATTTGGCATGAATCATTTAACTGTTCATTTTCATAATGACTGACATTATAGTTTTCATAATTCAGCAGGAACACATCCTGAACCCCCCTTTTGTAAAACTGTTGGTGCCTCTGGACCTCACTTTGGGACCCACAGTCACAAACCTACATACCTGATTGGTGTCATAAAGAAATCCTCTCTGAAGTTGCAGCAGGGCGAGGCGAGCCAGTATGGATGCCCGCGGACTGGTGGGCCCAATGGAAAGCAGCAGCCGGTAGGCCTCCTCCACCCGGCCAAGCTGGTACAAGGCATCCGCCGCCAGGATCTGGGCCCCATCAGCACCGGGCTGGAGCTCCATCAGCAGCACAGCCAGGGACTGGACACCAGCAGGGGTCCTAATGCACAGAGTGGGGAAAAGTGCACCATCAAGAAAATGCATTTATTTGAGAAAAAAGAATAAGGACTTTCATTAGTCATTGTCATTCATTGTTAGTAATTAACAACATTAACAATGGCTCTGTCTAATCCAAGTGTCCAGTGAGTGACTGACAGTGTGACAGTGAGTCAGCATGCACAATACCAGGATCCAAAAACTGAAGCACTTAAACGGAATTCAACTTCATAAATACTGTGACATGTCAAACTGTCTTCCAAAAAAGGCCTATTGAGTAAACTGTATGTGAGAAAAAACACAATACCCTGATCTGTGGTTGTCTCTCTTTGACAGGGCCTGCAGCTGAAGCCCTTGCCGGGGCTGTTGGGTGTCTTCACTAGAACTGGACTTGGATTTGTGCTCTCCAGTCCCCTCCAGCATGACTCGTCCCTGCTCCAGTAAAACAGTAAACAGCAGCCCCCGGTAGTTCCATGGCACTAAGCAGCGAACAGTCAGTGCTGTCTCCTGAGGCTGCAGCCTGCTGGCTGTCACATAGTCTAAAGCTGTGAGGTAGTTTAAGCCACCCATCATGCGCAGGAGTCCCCTGCCACATAGCGCCCGCACACAGCTGCACGGGTGGGGGGCATTGTGTTCAATTACAGCCTGGAAGTCTTCTAATGCCCCCTTGTGGTCATCAGAGAGAAGTCGTGCATATCCACGAAGAACCTGCACTGTGTTTTGGTAGCTCTGCTGACCTTGGGAGGCAGCTAGCTGGCTGCAGATGGAGAGGGCCTCTTTGTGTTCCCCTCTGAGGAGAAGACAGTCGGCCAGCCGTACCCGCAGCTCTCTGCCTCCCCCGTCAGGCTCTAAATGGCACAGAGTCCGCAGGTGAGTGATCACAGGGTCCAGGAGTTCAACTCCTTCAGTCGACCTCAGGTCTGGACGGATGAGGACCCTTTCTCTGTAATCAGACAGGCCTCTCTCTGCCTGCTGACGGAGATGGGTGCGAGCAGCCACCCCTGTACCATGATCTGCGAATAGCTTTTGGAAATAAATACGGGCAGTGGCAGGGTGTATCTCAAAAGCCTCTCCTAGATCCATGCATGCCTCTGCAGTCCGTCCACCTGCTGACAAACAGGCAGCAGCTCGACTGGTTAAGAGTCTGGCTCTCCTCTCAGGAGTGTCTTGAAATGACTTGTCGGTACTACTCTCTGACGTTTTCTGACATTGACTATGACCCAAGAGAGCAGAGTACACCTCTGCGCTGTCCCCAAACCTGCCTGTCAAAAAAAAATATGCTGCTTGAAGTTCCTGCACTTCTATATTATCAGATGAGATAGCCAACAAAAACTCAATAATTGTAGAGGAAGCTGCTACCTCTAGCTTATCATTGTCCTTTGCTGTTACTGCACGCTTGTTGTCACACATTGAGGGATATATGTGCAGTGTTTGGTCTATAAAGGCCCTCACTATTTTGGGTAGGTGCTCAGCTTGTCTGCTTGTAATCAGTTTGACTGTTTCAGATTTGTTACTCTGGTAAGCTTTGAGGTAAAGCTTCAGCCCCTTGATACTGTGAGGCTCTGAGAACAAGCAGGCCAGGGCACGAGTGATCTCCAATACCATGCCATTCACACCTTGTGGTTGAAGGTCTTGTTTCCCTTCAAGCAGAGCAGTGCAGCGAGCAAAAATCTCCTCGTAGCCATGCCCACCACTCTGAAGTAGAGACTCCATTTTAAAAATGGTGGCTGACAGATTGTTGGGGCAGAGTGTGGACAGGAACACGGCTGCAAGACCTTTATTAAGACCCTCAGCAGGCTGGGTCTCCTCGTGACTGTCAAGCCAACCTTCTAGAGTGGAAATCACCCCACCAAGGCTAGACTTCATTTTCCGCATGTGGGACATGGTGGAGGCGGCGTGAGTCCTGAAGGCAGACATGTAGAGAGAGGTAGCCCTCCCTAGCTCTCCGGCCTCAAGGAACTTGTCTCCTTCCTCACATAGCTCTGAAATATTGACTCCAGGTCGAACCACAGCAGTCATGATCAGGCAGGAGGCCCTCTCTGTCTGTTTTTCTTTCTTCACCTGTTCACAGTGATGACAGCATTGACGTCACCTTATGGTTAAAAAACAGAAAAATGTTAGTTTAAATAGCAGAATTATCAGTATTCAGCGTATTGGATCAAAACAATAGGACTTTCTCAAAACAGACATTTTGACTATAACTATCTTTCATGAACAAGAAGTACTTTCAGTCAAACCTGCTTGAACGGCAATCTGGGGTGGCCATGACACATAGATAAGACGCTTGCGTCTGGGGGACCCGGGTTCAATTCCTACTATGAGACATCCACCTACATGTAAATCGGTTAAAAGAGTAATCTAAAATGAGTAAACGTATATATCTCGGCAAAGGAGAAGTGCATTGCATTAAACTAATATTTAACGTTAGGGTACATATTTAAGTGTTAAGTGCCAATATTAACGTCAAATGTTGGTGAAATTTTAAACTAACCTTAACGTTACTTGCACTAGCAAAATTGGGAATATTGTGTAAAATTTAAGGACATTTTCCTAATGCAAAAACATTAGTGCACTGTGACATAACGTTACTACTTAAGTGAAAAAACAATATTTAATATGATGAGTTTTATAAAACGTATTAGCACCCCCGTATGGAGGGAATGAACCAACCTGCTCCTTTGGAACTTGATGCCAACAGTAGGCCCACCTAAACGTGAACAAAACCGAACTAAATGCGCGACTTTTTAATGAAGGAAACAACCCACTGATGCGGTCGGTGTCCGCGCATTTCTGTAACGCTAACTGAACGCCCCAAGAACAGAAAACCTGGGCCCCATTCTTGTAACTCAATAGCTCTCGACACAGAGTTGCCTGGACAATACGTTGTGTCCGCTAGTACAACAGAGTTTTTTTTATGTTTGTTGTTTGAGTCAAATTGCTGGAAAGACACAGAGATATTAACAAGATAAAGAACAAACCAACCGCAACTGTTTACATCATGGTGAACTCCCCCGGTCTCCTCTGTTGTTGGGATGGGACAGTCCGGATGAGCGAGCTTCTTGTTTTTGTGAGCACGGGCCCGGTTGCCAATGGAAACCACTAACAATCGCGCTCAAAGGAAAACCAAACAACCCTGAATGGCACACAGCTCAGTGACAGTTTCACTGCTTAAAACTTTCGCACCAAATCTGCGATAAAAATATGTTCCTCAACTCAGACGACGAACCTGGTGCTTCTAGGAAACCTGAAAGCAAGTTTCAAAAGTAATTGAGTCATTTACCTACTTCCAGAAAGGTGTTCGTTATTTTCCACACATAGGGCCTAGTTATTGCAGAGAAGCAGAAAATGTTAACATTTGCCAAATAAATCTCTCTTCCTATCTATGTAAATTGCGTTAACGCTAATTTACATTATAGGGTTATTTTAGGTAGGTATATCGGTCATTAACATGACCATTGGTTAAAACAGGTTAAAACATTTTCTAAATAATAAATCATGTTGCTATGTCCAATATTAATAGATTAGATGCAAAAAATATAATACATTTTGATTTATGAATTTATATATCCGTATGGCAAAGCAGTTGCAATGTTGCACTGATTAAAAAGGCAACCAAAATGCTGCATTCAGTTACAGTTGTAAAAATTATCTCTCATCGGAAGTCACAGCTATCTGGCAGCATATCAACATGTCCTTGTACTATTCACCGACAAAAAAAAAAAAATCAATCACATGCAAGTTTACTTAAAGCTGCTGCCAGAATTTCAGATGCTGTCCTAGTTTTCCTATAAATATACTGTGAATATGAAAAAAGTCTCTTTGTATGGAATCTATCCTTTTTCTGTCCAGGTAGTATGGACAATGCAGGACAGCTGTTCTTTATTCTGAGGCCCAATTTGCAATTCATGAGTTCTGTCTAATCCACCTCAAGAATAAAAGCTCAAGCACCCTGCCTACATTTTTTTTGTATGGGGTCCTGTGCTCAAAACTGAACACCAGCTGCTGCTGTTCAAACACTCAGCCAATACTCCCACCTTGTGGCCAAGAATTTTATTCATGACATAATGTATAGTGACACTTGACACAGGCTCCTCACAGTAGTATACTAACATACATTTGCACCACAGGTGACTACAAGGATAAAATTCCATCAGTATGATTATCCACTCATTTAGTTTTGTAACAAAAAGGTGCAAGCATCCATAAGTAGTTTCAGAAAATAATAATTAAAAAAAAAGGCACACACGTGTCTCCCAAAGCCAGAAACCACAGACCTAGATTCATAGTAAAACACTGATAAATAAACTCCAATAATTGGAAAGTCCAACTCCTTTACTGTTAGTAACTGAATTGACACACAAACACTCTCAAAATGAGATACCTAACCCCATAACAGGAAACCAACAGTTTGGACGAATACGTGTGGTGAGGAAAAACCCAGCCTACTTCACATTGACACCATTTATTTGCAGGAAACTGAACATCTGACGTCCTGCGGGGATTTCAGTTTTCTTCCTTTGCGAGGGTGCGTAACAAGAGTCAGTGGCTGGGTTATTAGAGCAGACCTTCAAACGAGATGAAGGAAATGTCAGACGTGGTGAACTGATCTGCAGCTGTGCTGCTCTTACATCATAAATGTGCCCTGAAATGTTCATAGTTTAAATAATCAAACTGAATAAGACTTTTCACTTTGATTAGTTAAATATCAAAAAATTAAAAAGCCAAGCACCAATTTGGATATTTGGAGGTAGAAAAATAATCTTGAGAGTTCAAACAAGGAACTTTTTCAGCGCTACCTCAACCTTCACACACATATACAATTATACAGTAACATATTTACATTTGCACTCTGCTGTAAAACCACAGCCTTCCACTGTTGGAGATGCCACACGCGAAGCTGTAGGTTAAGTGGTATTCTGGCAGTATAGCATATTAAAGGAGACTTCCCCACCTACTAGATTACTAGAGTTCAGCCTGGGTGTTAGGGTGAGTTTAGGGTTAGGCCATCTTTTTCCATGATGTCCTTAAGAATGCAACTGGTGGTGTTGTTGTTGTTACATGCATTTAAGCAAGCCACTTAATGATCCAAGTGCCAGTTCTGCAGCTGACTCTGCACTGCAACAAATCCATTATTGTCTATATGTACATTCTGCATTTTAAGTGTGAGTTTGGAGGTAAAATAAAGCTCAACTTAATAAAGACTCACAAAAGGAAATATTATACACTTATCTTGAGTACATTTGATGACATTTACCCATTAAAAGAAAGGAAAAGAGGAAGTAAACTAATTGTAGTGGGGCCTGTCATGATCTCCACAGTGCTCCATAATGCCATTTAGCTCTTAGCTAGATTGTAATATACAAAACATCTGCATTACTCAGTATGGGTCATTTGTAACATAATTGCAGTGTTCTGTGGTTGCACCATGTAGTAGCTACAGTTATTTATGTACTTTCCAAGGACTTGAAGTTTCTAGTCTTATGCACTGGCGCCGAAGGTTGAAGCACTGGTGTCTCTCATTCTATGATAGTATGGTATGCAGCCTCATCCTGCATTGCCCCATTGAAACCATTTTAAGTGTAACTTCTGCAGGCTGTGAAACCGTGCTTCAGTTAAGGCCTCCACACTGCAGCTTCTCCAGGCTTTCCTGCAGCAGCTGGGCACAGCCGGATAAATCCATGTAGTGCAAGGCAGAGAAGACATCATTCAGGCTCGCAGAGGAGCGCTGGCTCCACAGTCTCAGCATCTGGTACTGCCTCTCCATGGAGCCCAGACCCAAACCGGCCTCCAGCTCCACCCGCTCCAGCTGCTGATCAGCCACCGAGAGCAGACGCAAGAACTCCTTCCACCTACGCAAGGGCACCTCCTTGATAATTGTGTAGAGGACGATGGCCGGCCAGTGCTCCAATTGCTCATCTCGTCTGTCAGCTGGAAGGAGAGAAAACAGAAACACAGAAAATCACTGCATGTGCAAAACTGAAAACTCTGCGATGGAAAAAGGTCAGCTGCAAGAGCGTGCTGTCTGTCCAATGGGCTACTGCTTAACCACTTTAAGATAAAACTTTTGAGCTTTCCAATGTCTCACTTTTTCCCTTTGTGATTCAACATTCAGCTCTGTCCTGCAGAACGTTATGTTCTCTGGGTGGACTAAATGTCATCAAGATACAGAAACTGTGCAGAGGCGTTTGAGCATACCATGTCAGGAGACCAGCTGTGCAGTGAGTACATTTGTTATGAAAAGGTCAAAGTTACTGTCAACAAATCAAAACCAACAATTAACTAATCCTACTAACAACTACTGCCTGTGTAGCCAGAGCCAGATATATCTTATTACTCTTATTACTGTGCCATTAAGGCCCACTGATGAAGCTGTTGCACTGGGTGACATGTTTCTTCATTTGTCATTGTTCACTTATTCATTATCACTAATTCCTCCTGCATGGGTGAGCTGCAGCTAATTTAAGAAATTACTTTTACTGCCATAAGAAAAAATATATATATTTGTGAGCAGTTTTTTTAAAGGTTTATGCGTTATGTAGGAATCAATGGGCTTGACCACTAAACAGGCAGGAAAGTTAGAAAGTATGGAGAGAAAAATCCATGGGATCAATTTGTTGACAGTAAGGAAATATAGAACAAAAGCCTTTTAGTGGGGATTTTTTAATCATAAAAGTCAACACTGAATCACACAGGGGGGAAAAATAGCTGCTGCCGTCTGAGCTGTGGGGAGATTCAAGATTCTTAACTGCCTTTTGTACATTTGAAACATAGAAAACCTTCCTCACGCGTGAGAGGTGAAAAATGCAGTGGAAAATCTATTTAGCTTCATCAGCCTCACACACACCATAACCTATACGTAACATCTAACGATGTGTGGATGTTGTCGGTGATTTAAAAAAGGAGTTTGAACAGGATGTACAAGGCTGTTTAAGGAACACCCCTATCTGGTTTGCCATTTCACCTAAAATTAAATTGCTGACTGACGTGAAAAAGTTAATGCATCTTGTTTCCTAGTTTACACCTCCATACTGTGGTCCACACAACTGATCAGTGATAAAGAACAGAGAGACGCTGTAGCTTAAATAGATAGTACACCTTCAGTAATCAGATGGGGAAAAGAGTCACTGTGAGATTTTTAGTTTCAGAGGCGTGATGACGTGTGATGCAACATTTGAACCAGGCAAGCTCATGTCTTTGTGCTTGTAGGCACTCACTCTGCAGAAGTGTCCCCAAGCAAGACACTAAATACTTTCTGTCCATCTACTGCTGGCATCATCAAAAAGGCACGGGACCCCCCACTGTCACTGACTATCACTGATTATGTTAAAGTATTGCAAAGATTCCAGTGTCACCTCACACAAAGTCAAAGTTGAGAGGAAAGAGTTTATATGTTTTTGGTGTACAGCTTAGCTTTTCTCATTAAGTTGCCAATACACCACAACTGTTTTGTGTATTCTGAAATATTGACAAGTTCATGGGAGAACCTGAAAAGGCATGTTTGACACATGCTATCCTTCTCTATTATCATTATCCTATGACTCTTAACATTTTTTGTTAGTAGTAGTAGTAATACTAGAAAACAGTGAAGGGAAAACAGAAAAGTGTGGATCACTAATTTAAGCTGGTTTTATACTGCAAAGCAGTGCAAGCTTCTGCTGTAGGAATGTAAAAGATAAAAACTGAAATTACTTACATCTTACACATACATTTCTCTTTCATCTTTATTCCACTGAAATGTTTTGGGCAAAACATTAGCTATGACATGAACCAGTGTTGGAGAAGAACAATGGTGTCAAATATATACTTCATATAATTCATGTTCATACACTGAACAAAGACCAACTAAATCGCTCCGTCACAGGCTATGCATTGTAGCCAAGCATCAAATACTGAGTCTTACCTTTGTGTTCAGTGTCTGGCAGCACAGGACTGCAGGGGGCTGCATGTTCTGGTGTGGTGGAGCTGAGATTCATCATGGGAGTTTCCTCAGATACTTTAAATGTCTTGGAGGAACAAACAAGAGAGTGAAGGTAAAAATCTGTTTAAAGAGTGCCGGGTGAAATTCTTCAGCCTTTCTAAAACCCCAGAAAATCATTTTGATAATTTATTACAGCTTTAATGTTAAATGGACTGATGGTACTTAGAGGGCACCCTTTCTAGTCTTCTGACCATTTAAAGCACTTTCCATTACATGTCACCTCACCCCATTCACACACATTCATACACTAATGGCAATGGCTGCTATGTAAGGTGACAGCTGCTCATCAGAAAGGAACTAATCATTCACACACATTCATACACGATCAATTTTACGGTTAGTTGGCTACTCTTCCTCCTGAGCCACAGCCGCCCCTATATGGAACCAATTTTATTAGTTCACTTTAAATACAAATTGTGATCAGTGTGTTTGTGTCCACCTACAATACTGCTCCAATCTATATTTCTATCAAAAGCACACAAAATGCATGAAAGTGAGACAAACCAGTGTGGTCGGGGTGCTGACTTGATGACTGCGTTGTTCTGTTAGGAGGAAAAGAGATATGATCAGTGAGCTTCCTGCTTAAACATGTTCAGTTGAGAAAAAAGGAACTAGGTGAAAAAAAAATGTTTAACAACCATAAATGTCTCTTAAACTTGCATTTTATACACACACTTAATTTGAGTTTATCTTTTGTTGTGCTGTGTCACAGTACCTGCTGTGTATCTACAAAACAATCTAGACATTTAAATGTATTTTATACATTTAGTAAGTCTAAGAAGTTAAAGACTGAAGCTTTGATAAATTAAGCCCCGGATGTGACTTCAGCTAAAAGAAGACTGTGTGTATGAATCATAGCAAAATGTACTTAAAGTATCAAAAGTAAAAGTACTCCTCTCTGGGCAGAATAATAGTGGAATATCATTAGTGATGCATTCATATGTAAGCAGCATTTTAATACGTACATACAGTTGAGTAGTAAAATATAAAACACATTTTCAAGCTAATCATACGTGGCTGTTGTTATTGAATGTGGTTAGTTACATTCTACCACTGGTTACCGTTAAATTTGGGGTCCTCGACAGACAGCTCCAGGTCTTTATTTACACTCCAGCAAGGAAAACTGTATGGGTATCTGAGCTGGTTCCTAATGAGCAGGAGCCAAAGGAGCACCACACCTGTCCCCATAACCGCCACGACTAACAGCCAGGTCATTTCGTTCACTGCCATGGACACAAAGAAACACTGACATCATTCCACCACTTGGAAAGTGTAACATACAGTAATTCTGTCAGAAAATCTTTTATGATAAAAACATGAGTGATCCTCCAGATAACTTGAATAGTTCCTGTCTGAGTAAATTTACTCAATGCCCACACATACTGTGAGTGAAAAGGTCATATGAGTCAAAACTACAATACCACAGGCCGCTACGTTATGTCACTTTACTGGTTAAAAGTACAGTACAGATTGAGAACTAACAATTCAATGTTGGGTTTGAAGCTGTGGTTCTTGGAGATGTAGCTGAAGACGTGGTTGTAGTCGTAGAAGGAGGAATTGTAATTGCGGTAGATTTCCTCTCACATTCTGGGTATGCCAAACACTCCTTCCTGAGAAAAAGGAGAGACTACTATAGACAACATTGTAATCTGACAACATATTAATCCATACATACAAGGACTGCAGAGTGCACGATGGGTCCACAGTCCTTGTTCTGTGTAAAGCTATGTTTGAAAGGTTTATCTTAAGCTCAGTGAGGCTTATATAAACAGTTTGAATTAGTTAAATCAAGTCAATATCTTCAAAAGTTAGTCTTTTTAGTAAAAAACTCCCCCTTTGTTTGCCTAGGTAGCATCTCCCTGCTGAGGTGTACTGGAGAGATAGTATAACACCAAAAGGAAGTTGTTCTAAGATTTGCCTAACACAGCTGAAGCCCCATATTAGCAAACTCTGAATACATTCTTACACAGAAAGAGGACTGAATTTTGTCTGCCCTTGAGTACCTTTAAAGCACATTAGAAAGAGATCTTTCATTGGCCCGCGTTGACAAAAGGAATGATTACAGCAAGCAAAAACTGTTTAAATGTTTATATGGGCATCTGACTAGTGTTTTAAGACCTTGAAAATATGTGAACTTATCCTTAATAGACAAAACAGCAATCTTGTGTGCACAGTTACAATCCTTTATCAGTAAGGCTTAAAAGTCTTAACCAAAGACTTCTAATATCTGCAGCCACACAGGTAGTGCAGGGCCTCAGAAAAACCACAGGAACTTAATGTTTTGCCACTCTAACAAGACGACGACATGCCCCCTGAACTAAAATCATGCCATGCTTGATTTGACAGCAGAGATATATTTCAGACCAAGACTAAAAGCCAATTAAAATATCAAAAGAGCTGTGTTTTTTAGTCTGTGAAAATGTCTTCAAATATCTAGTTGTGTTTGCCCAGCAGTCAAAAACATAACCTTTGAGAAGCTGGAGTCATTTTTGCTTGATTAAACTACTGCAACAATCGACTGTCAAATCTGTTTTTCTGTTGATCGATAAATTGATTAAGTGTTTCAGCTTTTGGTTCAAACCTACAGAGCTTTTTGTCTGTATACACACAAACATATGCATTACTCTGGTTGCAATCTGCACAATTAAAAGTCAACCTGCTCCCACACTAAGCCAATCAGATGCTAGAAGAGCTTCTCCAACAGAAATAGACAATATATATAGGAAAAACATATTGAAAAAGGTAAATATAGCGACTAAGACAAATACAATGATCAAGATATTGTGATAATGATGAATCAGACACCCAAAAAAAACAAAATAGCAAAAACATACTGTAATTGCAAGGTGCCAAAATGAAAACCTTCCCTAGCTCCTAAGATTTAGTGGGATCTATCACTACAGTACGCAGATTGATTTTTTTCCCTTACAGTTCTGTGTGGCTCTCTACTCTCTCACAAAAACAAAAATCTAAACATGTCTTAGTTTTCATTTGTCATATTGTAACATCTCCCACCTTTGGCAGGGATTGCACTTCCTTTTGTAGTCCTCATTAACATCAGACACTGAAAAAGAAAATATGAGGGTGAATGTGAAAATTCTGAAACATGATATGGCTTCCCTTTGATGGTTTTATCATGTTGAATAAGACAGAATCTTGCTGGTAATCAAGATGGCATCAATTTAACACTTGTTGACGTCACCTACCTCCACATCTTGCAGAGCTGCATGCTCGGCAATCCCTTATTTTGGATTTAGAGTTTGCGTTGTAGTATCCATCCTTACAGTCACATACCACATTACTATTAAAGGAGCAGGACTTTATTTCCTTCTCAATATCTGGGGGAAAAAATCAAAACACAGTCCTGACAATTTCTTAAAATGTAGTTAAAAATGTATGCTAAACCTGTTCCAGGACAGAACTGACTTTTAAGACAACATCCTATATGAGCTGGAGTTAAAATGGTTATACCAATCAGTGTATTATTTTGATGTTGCTTTTATGAAACAAACAGCCTTGGCCTGCTACTTTGGATTTAACCTCCTAGACAGGTATATTTCATTGCAGAATTTCATCTTCCCAAACAAAATTGCTTGAGTCCCTCAAAAAACACCCTACATACCATCATTATCATATGTTTTGCTATTTATTTTTCTATACTTCATCAGAATGGCATGACAGTATGGTGGTAAATCATTTTTATTTTATTTAGATATCCATAAAATGCCATAATATTACTTATACTAATATATTATTTTCCCACAATCATGTGTTTCTATCACCCAACCCAATCAATAGTATTTGAACAAGATACTTACGACTACACAAGTCACACCTCTGGCATTTTGTTATTAAGTTTGGTATTTCTGTGTATTCGTTGTTTCCACATTTTTGACATCTGTACTGTCCAGTTAGATTCCCACAGCTACCAATCTTATGATATCCTGGGAACCGGTGGAGAAAAGGAGAAAGGGAATGAGTTAACCTGTGATAATTCCACAATAACTCAACACAAGGTCAATGCATGCAGTTCCTTGTTATAACTTACCAGCTGGACACTTTTCAAAACATGAATTACTGGTTTGTTCGGTCACCTCCGTGTAACTCTGTCCAGTGGAAAGGAAGGCAAGTATCAGTGGGAAAACCTGAAACAAAAGAGGAGGTATGACGAGGTGAGGTACTGTGGGAGAGGAAGATGCTTACAAACCAACTGGGCTGACACTTTCATACCACAGCTGCCACCCAAAACGGCAAGCAAGGTTCAGTACAACTCATTGCACAGGCATCTTTTGCCTTTTCATTTCCATACATCTTTGATATCAAGCAAGCAGGTCTTCAGCTTGGTGGCTAGGTTAGTGGTGATCTTTAACTCCTCGTGGACTACCCTGAATGAGGCCAGAGGATCAGTATCAGTGGCACAAACATTTGAAAGGGTATCAAAAACCTCCGCCCAAACACATGGCTGTGGGTGCCCAGATTACACCCTCATCTTAAGCCATTCTCAATCTGTCCTAAACAAGGGTTTGCCAATTTTCTGATGGTCAGATGGAGCCTATGAAACAATCTAAACTGTAGGTGCCCATTACCTGATGCATCTTGATGAGGAATTAACCTGACCAAGACATTTCTGATATTTGTGAGCTGCAAGGATCGTCTTGTATAAAATAGACGACATGCTTTTCTAATGGATCCATTTCTTAGGATTCTGTTCTGTGGGGTCTCACGAGACGGAGATAACCAAATCTCCTGAAGAGGTCCTTTACTTACATTTTCTAGCCTACAGTTTGAATGCCAAGTCAATGGGGGAGGCAGAGAAGAGAAAATAACGCAAAATAGGAGTCTTATGAGAGAGCCGTTTAAAGTTAAAAAGAATCTATATCTTAAGAGCCCCATAGTCAACAGGATTGTTCACAAAAAACAAATCAGAGCTCAGTGTAACAAGGTTGCCAGTGGTACCAATTGTGTGGATTTCTTCATCCACCTCCTCCTGGACCTGGTAGAAACAGCCCTCCATCTCCCTTCTGCCATTGTAAAAACGTGTGTTCATTTAATTCCTTGAAAAGTGACCTTGGTATAATATTAGTATTGTTTGGGGAAAAAAAGAAGTATTAATCACCAGAGTTAAATCTGCCAGCCAGCAAAAAAATAAGGGATGGCCACCACTTGATCTTGTTTGGCTTCATCCAGGGCTATCTTAAAATTATTGTGAAACAAATTCTTATCTCTTTCAGTCACACCTAAATATGCAAATCTTAGAGCTGAAATGATTAGTTCGTCAATCAATTAGTTGACCGTCAGAAAGTTGACCAGAAACTATTTTGATCATTGCAAAAATGCCAAACCATCAGTGGTTCCAGTCTCTAAACAATGAATATTTTCTGTTTTTCTTTGTAAACTGAATTTATTGGACTGTTGGTTGAACAAAGCAATACATCTGAAGACGTCACCTTGGAATTTGGGAACTTGTGTTGGGCATATTTTGTGATTTACTAACATCGTACAAACTAAACGATTGTAATTGTATTTACACACTTTATGTCTTACATTACTCAAGGACATACAAATGACGTGTTCTTAAAAGAGCATAAGAGACATACTGTATGTTTGTTTGCTTTCATGGCAACAGCTATAATGTGACAACAGTTCCTGTATCAGTGAGCGATGACTATCTAAAATCCACTCACTGAAACTAAATTAAAGCTTCCCTGAAAGGACGACGACAAAAATAAAGTGATCTGTACTGGGTTACTTACCAAGACAAAGTCCATGTCAGAAGAGTTGACCGTGAGCAAGTTAAAAAACCAACTTTAGATGATTGTTAGTTTCACTCATTTCAAGAAAAAAAAAAAAAAAAAAAGTCTGATTAATGCAGTATATCAGACATCACTCTATTCACCCACTGGATGAGGCAATCTGACTTTTAGCCATCTGTTCCTTTTAAAGCCGACTCAAAGCGTTAAAGGAAGCCTGCATGTATGTCTGTCTGTTTTGTGTGTTTGTAGGTCAAACCTGTCAGTTCTTTGGAGTTTTCAGAGAAGTGGTGCAAAAAAAACAACAAAAAAAACAGGAAACACACTTTGATCGTAACACGTAACCACCCCCCCACACACACACAGTCACACACAGTGACATGACTCTTGGTGGCAACGCCAGCGCACAAGCTCCTTTGTCTGATTCCAATAACTCCACCTCTGCGAAAATACTCTCAACTCTCTTCATAGACAAGACTGAAAACAAAGATACAAATTCAGATGAGGTAGTAGGCAGGTACCAGTGTGAGGATAAATCGAATACAGTAAATGCAATTCCTCATCAAGGGGAGAATAATGTTTTGTTTTTTTAAAAAAATCAAAAACATGGAAGTCTACTTGACTGATGAAAAGCCTGTGAACACACAAAATTAGCAGACATTTTCTGCAGTACAACTCCATGTGCTTCAAAAGCTGCTGAGTGAGTGTTGACTGCACAAAAATCTCAGTCTTGGTCTATTATCTATATCTAGATATAGATAATAGATATATATCTATGCGCAATATTCACAATAATATGTACGCAAGTAATAATGTGTAACAAAAAGCTAAATGTTTTGGAAAATGCTTTTAAATAGGCCTGTTGTTTATGCATCTTAACTTGATATCCATTAAACACATTTGTAGCATAGTTGTATTGGTCTGTTTATGACATCTGTATTATATTATGTATCAATGTTTTTATGCTAGCTTCTTGGTCTCTTAAAGATCCTTTTGTCTCAATGATATTCATACCACATTAATTAAAGGAAAGGAATGAAAACAGTAATCCAAGGGCATCACTTTTTGTTGAGAAGTAAAGGGGAAGGGTCTGTGTGTCCTCCACCATAAAATTTAGCGCATTAAAGACTCTGCACCAATTTATGGTGGAAATGTACAGTGGATAGAAAAAGTCTACACACCCCTGTTAAAATGCCAGGGTCTATAAATCATGTCAGAACTTTATCCCACCTTTAATGTGAACAATTCAATAGAAAAACAAATTGAAATCTTCAAGGGGGGGAAATGAAAACCTTACAATAACCTGGTTGCATAAGTGTGCACACCCTTAGACTAATACTTTGTTGAAGCACCTTTTGATTTTATTGCAGCAGTCAGTCTTTTTGGGTAGGAGTCTATTAGCATGGCACATCTTAACGTGGCAATATTTTCCCAACTGTTCTTTGCAAAAGCGCTACAAATCTGTCAGAGTGCGTCAGGTCTGGGCTCTGGTTGGGCCGTTCCAAAACATTAATCTTCTTCTGGTGAAGCCATGCTTTTGTGGATTCGGATGTGTGCCTTGGGTCATTGTCGTGCTGAAAGGTGAACTTGCTCTTCAGCTTTCTAACCGACACCTTAAGGTTTCGCGTCAAAATTGCCTGGTATTTGGAACTGTTCATAATTCCCTCCACCCTGACTAAGGCCCCGGTTCCAGCTGAAGAAAAACAGCCCCAAAGCATGATGCTGCCACCACCACCATGCTTCACTGTGGGTATGATGCTCCTTGGGTGATGTGTAGTGTTGTTTTTGCGCCAAACATACCTTTTGGAATTATGGCCAAAGAGTTCTACCTTGGTTTCATCAGACCAAAACTAATTTTCCCACATGCTTTTGGGGGACTTGATGTTTGTTTTTGCAAACTTCATCCATGCTTGGATGTTTTTCTTTGTAAGGAAAGGCTTCCGTCTTGCCACCCTACCCCATAGCCCATTCATATGAAGAATACGGGAGATAGTTGTCACATGGACCACACAGCCAGTACTTGCCTAAAGTTCCTGCAGTTCCTTTAATGTTGCTGTAGGCCTCTTGGAAGCCTCCCTGACCAGTTTTCTTTTCAGCAATTTTGGAGGGACATCCAGTTCTTGAAGTCACAGTTGTGCCATATTTTCTCCACTTGATGATGACTGTCTTCACTGTGTTCCATGGTATATCTAATGCTTTGGAAATTCTTTTGTACCCGTCTCCTGACTTATGTCTTTCAACAATAAGATCTCTCTGATGCTTTGAAAAGCTTTCTGCGGACCATGGCTTTTGCTCAGAGATGCAACTAAGAAAATATCAGGAAAATCCTACTAAAACAGTTGAACTTTATTTGTGATTAATCAAAGTCACTTTAAATGATGGCAGGTGTGTAATGACTTCTAGTTAACCTGAGTTTGAATGTGATTGGTTAATTCTGAACACAGCCACATCCCACTTATAAGAGGGTGTGCACACTTATGCAACCAGGTTATTTGAGGGGTTTTATTTTTCATTTTTCCCCCTTGAAGATTTCAGTTTAGATAAATAAACCTTTCTCAATTCATTTGCTATTTAACATTTCTTGTTGCAAGCTATTTTTCAGAACATTTTTAACAACTGCCTTCAAAAAGTGGTGGGGACATGTCCCCAGCGTCCCCAGTGTAAATGACACCTATGATCAAATATTACAAGAGCTCATCAGATTGGGATACATGTGTGTTTAAGTTTTGGAACCATTATTGTTTTTCACTAATGTTTTGAAATATTGTAGTTTTACTCTCACTGCATATATTTGACTGGGAAGTTTATTTGCAGTTTAATATTTCACATATAAAACATGAAGATGAGCTCATGAAAAATGATGTATTGCTGGAGAGCAGAACACTTTGAGCAGGTAAAGTGTTAACAGACTGAAAGGGTCAATATTTCTTATTTAATCTTCCTTTTGATTTTTTTTTTTTTCAGTCAGTATATGGCTTTAGTGAAAATTTGGACGCAGTGCTTTTCTTTGTATGTGGAGTATTTTTACATTGAGGCGTTGCTATTTACCCCTGCAAATCTGTAGGCTAAATCCAACCCAAACACGCGCTGAAATAACGTTATTGGACTCATTATACATGCGCTTTGCATCAAACGTGAACAACGCAGGTCGTGTAAAAATCCAAAGCAACATTAGCAGAATATCTCCCTCTGTGTCTGTACTGTACTGAGCCTGCAGCAGCAGCACCCAGAAGTGAACAAAGCGACCCGGAAGCGGTGGTCCGACTGGAGGCAGGCAGAAAGAACATCAACCTTTTATATTATAGCTGTACTCGCAAGACAATATCTGCAATCAGGACACAAGGTATTTGTGCATGTCTTTTCGTGTCTTCCCTGCTGTGCATTTCTCTGATACGCGATAGCCTCGTAAATGCGTGCATTGTGCACAAAATGCAATTGCTGTCCTTTGATTCGTCCAAAAGTTGCAGAATGTGAAAAAAAGCAGCCCTGAAAGTGAAATTTGGTTAAGATTGCACAGCGCCTTTCGAGAGACATGGCACTGTGCGCCAGTTATATTTTGACCTTAACGCATTGGTACGGTTGTTTTAGTCGGTGTGGTGTTTGGGTCGAGCCTGCATCTTGTCCGTTTCCGTGCTGTTTTTTTTTTTTGCAGGGCATGGTTGTTGTAGGAAGTGTCAGTTTTTTTAAGAGGTGGGGAGGCCGGGCTATTCAAACCTGCAATTCGCCGTAAACAATCATTCATGCCTTTGACATGATAAACACACCTTTTGTGTTCGCGTCGGTCGCGTCTTATCCCCAACACCATCCTCACGACAAGATGTTCATGCTCCTAAATTTTTGGGGTCTGCAGAATATGGCGTCCCGCCTTATAAAAATAAGGCTGCCATTTTTGTTTCTCTTTTGTCTGGAAATGTTTAAAGAAAACTGTCTGAGTCGCACCGGGAGGATCTATCCGTAAAATCCTCCATCAATTTGAGTCCAGGGGTGCTCTCAGACAGCCGACATGTCCGAAAAGTCAAAGAATGGAAAGTTTTTTTTCATTGCGTTTATCTGAGTATTTAAAGCGACGTCCACTTATTTTCAGGAATTCACTCTCAGACAAAAGGAATATTGGGGCTAAATGTCCAAGCTAACGTTAAACGGCGAAGGCTCTGTCAGACATGCCTTTTTCTTATATGTGGCAAAATATTTGTGGGTGACATTTAGGTGTTTGACCTGTGTTAACTTAAAGGTGACAGTTTGGTTCATAATGACACTGTAGGCCTAATTCACACACTGAGTTATTAGCATAAATGTAACACAGCAATTAAGTCACTTAAAATTAGCCTGGGCATCTTTATCCAAGGACTGCTCTTGGTTATGATTTTATTATTATTTATTTTAATTAATTAATTTTTAATTTCAAGGTTAATGCAGGTCCTAAAAAGATCTTTAAAATAGCTTAACTCAAGGTCCAGTTACTGTATTTCACCCTTCAGCTGCATCTCAAGGTCTTCCTCAGCTGATGAGGTTTGCTCAGTTATTAGGAGCAAACTTAATCCACCGAGAGGAAGACCATGAGATGTGGATGAAAGCTAGAAAAATGTGGTAAGTGAACCATGAGTTAATAATTTTTTTTTTTGTAAAAATAAACGTTTTCCAAGGTGAAGTTATCCATTTTTAAACCTATTTTTCGAATACCAGCCTAAACAACCTGACTTAAATTGTCTTCAGTTTGTATTTTTAAGTCTTCATTTAAATGTAAGTATTTAAAACCCAAAGCCAACATAAGAAGTACACACTCATGTAACCTCATACATGAATACCCTTGCCAGTTGTTTCCTTTATAGATTATCCAAATCTCCTTTTCATTTACCTCACATAAGAAATGCAGAATAACACTGGAATTTGGAGCAAACATCTAATAATGCAAGCCCTTTGAAATATATTACTACCTTTACCCTTGCAGTGAAATCTGCCTGCATGCGGTGTCCCAAAATCTTAACATTTATTTATTTTTGGTCTCATAAATTTCACATTTTCAATGTGCCAAAACCCTGTTGGATGAGTAATATGTCTTCAGTAGAAGCACTTACAAAGCTAGATGAAAGTGAACGGGATGGAAACTGATGAAATGTAAATGGGAAGTTGGGGCTAAAAGAAAATGCTCACCTTTTCTACTCAACATGAAACCTGCTGGGTTTCTTGTGGTTAGGGTGCCAGCCTTTTCGTCAGTCAGTCAGTCTGCCACATCAACGCGCTATAGATATTTTAAAGTCTCTGCAGTTTTAAAAGCAGTGCGTTGCATCATAAACTTCTCTCTGATCTCAACTGACTTTTACATATTTGTAGTAAGACAACAAATGTTATTTGCTAAAACAAATGTTATTCATTTCAGAATGGCAGAGCCTCGATTTAACAACCCGTATTTCTGGCCGCCACCTCCATCCATGCCAGGCCAGGTAAGTCCATTCGTAACATGTAAATACTGTGACATTTTTAATTGCCATTTGTTTCCATGTGTGAATGTCTTTTCAGCCATTCAGCACCAGTCAGTCAGTGAAACAAATCCGTCACAGTTCGTTCTCGTAGATTAAAAGATATAAATAAATAAATGTAACTTGTACTCTCTGCTGGGATGTGTTTTCGGGGCATGAATGACATTCACACACGGTGGCTGTTTTCTGTTGAGCATGACCCGTTAACCCTTTCAGCTGGATAACCTGGTGCTCATTAACAAGATCAAGGAGCAGCTGATGGCTGAGAAGATCAGACCCCTGCACTTGCCGCCTACCTCCACCCCTTCCCAGCAGTCTTTGCTGGTGCCCACCTCGTCCCCGGACGGTAGCGCCCAGCACGGCATGTCAGTGCCAAAGCCCCAGGCACAGCAGGTGCAGGGCCACCACCAGCAAGGCTCTGGACAACCAGATATCGCTCTGCACGCTCGCCCTGCCTCCAGCTCTGGACCAGGTAGAATCTCCACTTTGTTGTTTATAGGCCCAGGTACTGGACCGCAGTCTATTTTAAATACAGACCCAAATGTGTGAGTTGCAAGTATCACAGACTGTCCAGCATTAAAAGTTGACATTGAGTGCCTGGTCAGATTTTTAGTCTTGTTTACTTGTTTCTTTGATTAGATATTTAGATCAGGAAACATTGCAAATTTTTATTTTAGGAAAAGTCCTGGTAAGGCTGCATGTGTCAAGCCAACAGTAAATACTGATGAATTGAGAAGTTTCACGTGTTTTGTGAAACAAAAAAGGGTAATCTAACGAAACATATTTATATTAATGAAAAATAATAATTTGGGTAGTGGTACTGAAACTCTGATATCATATTTGCACAGGTACCAAATTTGGCAAAACATACCCAGCCCTAGTTGTTTATAGACTTATTAAATATCTAAGAGGAAGTAAATGAGCTAACAAATTTAAATTTGTATTTTAAAGAAGAGACAACAAGGTCGCGACGGTCTCTACAACTGTTGACTTCACATTGTGTGGCATTCTTACACATGAGCATTCAACAGTATATGGTCTGTTACACAAGTTACAAATAAGTTACTGTTCACTTCACTGATTAAAATGCCATCACCTCACAACTTCCAGATGGAAATATGGACGACAAGTCAGCAGTGAAAGCTAAAGGATTATGGGAAGACTGGCACATGAGGCAGCTCAGCGAGCAAACTGGCCGGGTCAACCATCGCTCAGGTACTGCAGTCAGCTGGTCTCTGTGGTCTGTTGACATGGGGAAATATGAAGAAAATCAGCCTCTGGGGCTGAAAGGAAATAACACAACTGGTAAATAAGACAAGTACATTTATCATACATGTATCGTCGTAACTAACAACACAATGTATCATTAGTTACTTAGTTGAAAAGTGTGTTTTTATATATAATTAAACATTTCCTAGGATTTAAAGTGGGGAAATAAACAGAGACTGTCTGTTGTGCAGGCTGAGCAATGCATTAGAGTGCCAACAACGTTTAGGGAATAATACTGAGAGACACATTTGTTAGTTTTATGGCATTTATGAGGTGAAGAGAGTACACAGATATTGGTTTTTGAAGATTAGTACAAATAAAGTTAGACCGATGTTGGTGCAAACCAAAACTTTCCCCTGACTTGTGGTAAACCAACAAAATATAAAACCAATATATTGGTGTACCTCCAGATGAGATTCTAGGCTTCCTGAGCTATTAAACAACCGCACCAGTGGTTTTGCAAGTTTTAGCCTATTTACTACAAATTATGCATTTTTTGCATCACAGCTAACCATTGTGCAAAAGGCATTGTCGTGCTTTTTGTATTAGTTTTCATTCATGTCTGCACAAATGTAAAAATCAGTGAGAAGACTTTTAAAAAAAACAGTAGTAGGAAACAAACTGTGTAGCTTGCCAGTTAAAATTGTCCATCAAAAATGTAAGTTTGTAGTTTAGAGCTAGAACTTACAAAAAACAATGATGTGGTTAAGTAAAATCATCAGATGCCTCGTAAGTCATGTGTAGTGTTGTAGTAGGTGTTAAAACAGTTCTGGTTGTCACTTCCACAGGTCTGGTTCCTTCTTCCCGACCTGACAGCCACAACACCTCAGAGGCCCTAACCCCCACGACTCCAACCTCCAGCAGCCAGAACCGCCTGGGTGGTGCCCCTTCTGTGAACATCATCTCTGGGCTGGCCAGCGGTCCTGGCATGGACCACATGAAAGTTGGAGGCCTGGCTGGACTGTTGGGCCCCCCACCCAAGGCGCCCCGGGGACGGAAGAAGATCAAGGCTGAAAACCCGTCAGGTCCTCTGCTGGTGGTGCCCTACCCCATCCTAGCTGACCAAGGCTGCGTCACTGTCGCACCCAAAGAGGGCAAAACCTACAGGTTGGACACCGGAAGCTGCTACTGTTGTTTTCATGTTTTTATTGCACCACGGGGGGAAGGATATTTGTTTTCACCGCTGCCCTTGAATCCAATTCACAGATTTAATTGTGGCCTGTAAAGATCAATAGGCATTTGCTTGAAGTTTGGTTTTAAGTAGGCTGTAGGTGATCGAGACATCGATATGAACCCATCTTTCTTCACTCAGTGGACTGGAAAATTGCCATTGCCTCCTATTTTCATCTGATTTAGTTTTTCACAAGGATCATGAGTTTTCAGAGGCAGTCAGTTGCATCATTATCTAAATGGTCTGACTTCTGGCTGGCAGACTTAATCAATTCTCCGTAGTTGTTTTCCAAAATAAAACCTTGTAGTAAAACTGAGCTTGAAAGACTTGGACTTAGTTTGTGAGGTCAGCACCGTGCAATCAGTAGGGATGTTTGCAACGGATTTGATACTAAACTAATACCTACTTCTTTTGAATTAACCCAGAATTTAACTCTACTCTAACTTTGGTTGGGATTGAGTGCTACGGCTAGTTGGATATAGATCATCATTCAGAATTGGTTATGTTTTAATACTTTAAAACACAAGTTGTGTACTGTGTAGTCTCTTTAAGGGTAAGTTCTAGACAGACTTTAACTTGACTGAAACAGCCTGATCTGATCACGTTTATGCATTTTTGTGTCCTTTTTCTGTCATTAAGATGCAAAGTGTGCCCGCTCACCTTTTTAACAAAGTCAGAGATGCAGATTCACTCCAAGTCCCACACAGAGGCCAAACCACACAAGTGTCCCCACTGCTCCAAGACATTCGCCAACGCCTCCTACTTGTCCCAGCACCTGCGCATCCACCTGGGGATAAAACCCTACCACTGCTCCTACTGCGAGAACTCATTCCGTCAGCTGTCACATCTGCAGCAGCACACCAGGTCGGTCCAGCTGCGAACACAAAGCAGGAAAAGTTACTGTGGGGAAAAGAAATAGCCACTGTGCTACTGAAATATGACTCTCAGTGGTCACAGATTAACAGAATATACAGCAAGTCGTGTTTTTTTTTTTTTTTTTTTGTTGCAGAGAATTTGTCTGATGACATCCCTTGGGGAATTACCCTAATACCCTAATGTTTTCATTTTCCTGGCTAGGTATTTCTCTCATTGTATATCAGATGCATCGAGGTTGCCTTTAAAATATGCAGTGAGAAGATGGGAGTTATAGATTCTGTTGTGGAATCTGTTTGGTCTCGTTTGCAACACTTTAGTTGGTTCAACTGCAGTTATCTCTCTCATTAAATACATTTAGGGTCTTTTCTAACCTTTTTTGATCTGCTTCTTTTGCCACAGAATCCACACTGGCGATAGGCCGTATAAATGTGCTCACCCCGGATGTGAAAAGGCTTTTACCCAGTTGTCTAACCTCCAGGTCAGTACATCGTCACACAGCTTAATTCTGCCACACCAGATACTACAACAAGAACTGTTATTTTACACTGAGGTTGACAACAGCTCAGCGACAAATGTAGTGAAAACAAACAGGTTTATTCATTGCTTTAATAGACTGTAATCATAAGTCACATGTCCGTGCTTCTTCCCTAACAGTCTCACCAGCGGCAGCACAATAAAGACAAGCCGTATAAATGTCCTAACTGCTACCGTGCCTACTCAGACTCGGCATCATTGCAGATCCACTTGTCAGCGCACGCCATCAAAAACGCTAAGGCCTACTGCTGTAGCATGTGTGGCCGGGCATACACCTCAGTGAGTAAACCACAGGTTATCTGTTTATCTTGATCTGTATTACATTTTCCCAGCATGCCCTTCAGGCAGGCTGTTTATTTGGCTGATAAGATGACAGCCTTTTGATGATACTCTGTCTCACTTTGCCTGAAACTTGCTGTGTTTCCTGTTTGTGAAGAATTGAACATGTCGTTGCTCCCATGCAAACATACTGATAAATTTTTACTTGCTGAAACTGGTTCGCGAGATACGTATGTAATCTCTTTTCCAGTTAATGAATGAATGTTTGCTACCAGTTTCCTACCAGTTCCAGATCTCTCTTTAGCCCAACATATTACTCTAAAGCTAAAACCTTCCACAGAAAATTGATCATAGAATAATTGTGATGACATGTAAGTAAAAATGCAAAATATTTACTGGTTCCAGCATCTAAAATGTAAATATGTGCTGATTTTCTTGTGATAGGCTGTTGTCCAATCTGTTGTTTTAATGTCACTTAAATTTCATTTTGGACCATTTGGTGTGTTTTTCGTGTCTTTGTAGGAGACCTACCTTATGAAGCACATGTCCAAACATACGGTGGTGGAGCACCTAGTGAGCCACCAGTCGCCTCAGAGGACCGAGTCCCCCAACATCCCCATACGCATCTCCCTCATCTGAGCTCCCCTGCTGCTCAGCAGCAGGACCGATTCAGAGTCTACGCTAGGCTGGAGCTTTTGAGGCCCTGCACCCACAGCCATCTACATAAGGCTTACATTAGCATTATGACAGCTGACATAAGCATTCAGTGCTAGATTCAGTAAACAGGCTGCCTCCATCCATCTTGACACAAGCCATCTGTCAAAAATGAGCACAGCGTTATTTTGTGAATGTAACAATACAGCTAGATGTTGTCCGGAGGATCGAGTGTCAGAGAATGTCTTGCGTCAGATTTAATAAGCACTTTCGTAAGCGTCATGTAAACTGCCGGATGCATTGGCCATCATAAATGTTTTAGTTAGAAATGTTTTTTAGTTTTTTTCCCTCTTCCATGAAATGGGTTTCCAAAATGTGCCAGATGATATTTGCCCTTATAAAGAATTGAGAAAGTAGAAAAAATGTTTGCTGGGTGTATTCTGGAGACATCCAAAGATAATCTTAAAGCACTTTTAGGCCTTGTGGTTTTGGCTCAAATTGTTTCAATCTTGTTGGATGGAAAATGCCAAAGGGCATTACTTGTGGCAGCTAAGAGTACTGACTGTGTATAAACAGTCTTTTTCTGTTACTTTCATTGTTTTTACTCACATTTTTGTGCAAGTACATATTTACAGGGTCATCTAAATTTGAAGAAAGGCAATCGGTAGATGACAATTTTAAACATTTAATGATTGTATTAAGAAGTTGTATTATTGACTTGGGGAGGCAAAAAAATAGAGCAACATGTAAGGGACGAAAGATGAATGTTTTTTATTTTATTTTTCTTCCAAAATCTTTCACTCCATATTTGATGTTCACTTTTATGGCACCTTTTATGGTCATAACATATGATCAAATAAACACTGCTTTTTACATTACGTTTTTCTCCTGTCCCAATAACTAGTGCCATATGAACCGTGTTGAGGTTTTAATAGAAAGCAAATCTTGTTATACTGCGTCTGCTTTCTCTACTCAGCTAAGCTTTGACTATTGTTTTGTAAGTATTAGAGGTTGAATACATTGCACCTGTGTCAGTGCCAGCTCTACTCAGCCCTACCTTTAAATACACTTCAGCTGAAAATAGATTTTACTCGAGTGCTAAATTTTAAACCTAAACATTGGACCAAAATGTGAAGTTATTGTACAGTTACTCTGGCCCAGTTAAGTATTTTGTTTTCTCTTTAATAAGCTTTACCCATTTGGAATAAACTGCAGTATAAGTCATTTTCCATAGGTCTATATTATAAGTTAACATGGAGGTGATGCTTCTCCTTTTGATTTATTTTTCTCATTTAGTATTCTTTTTATTGTACACAGTATTGTTTGTTGTATTTTTACTGTAACTTTAACCTCTGGATGGTACTAATAGGGTACCCTGTACTCTTCAGGGCACTTAAAGGGTGCTACGGCTAGACGTAATGTTTGAGATGGAACTGAGAATAATGTAAAATACATATACAGTATATAGTATGTTTTCAAAAGAATAAAAACGTATTACTATAGCCACTGGCCTGAAAAACAGACATTTACGCCAACAACAGACCCTGCCTCTTCAACTTACTCTCTCTTGAGATAATGGGAAAATGTACATGTTGCTGTACTGTAAAACATGTTACTCATTTATAGTACCTATTTTTTAAGTTTTCATAAACATGTTCTGTTTGGGTTTTGTAAGAGTTTATGTATGAACTTACTGTAATTAATTTAGTCTACCCATATGTTATTAATATTCATGTTTTATATCAGTTATTTACATGTAAGCCTTAACTGTTTTATCATCCCATTTCCATTACTCTGTATTGTGTTCTGCAGTATTCAGTCGTGTAAACATTTTTATTTTTTTCCTTCCGCATGGAGTTCCGAAGCTGTAATCTGTATGATAACTGTAACCCATGTTCTCTGAAAAGATATTGCGTAGATTTATTACACTTTTTCCTGTCTTGCATTGTGGTTTCATAAACAGTTTCTAGACAACAAAATATGCACAGCCAAGACTGAGAAGTTAAACTAAGGTTATCAGTGTTTAAAAAAGGAAAAAAAGCTTTGTATCTTTACCTTGTTTAATAAACAGACTGTTATAAATTCATCACTGATTGCTTGGTTCGTACAAAAGAAAACTGTACCTGCCATCAAATCAGTTTTTTAGAGAGCAAGATGGTGGGAGGGAAAAAAAATATGAAGCATTAAGTTTATTTATTCAGTTTTATTTATGAAAATATTTTTTTGTTTAAAAATGCATTTACACGGATACAACAAATTTAAAAGTTAGGGATGCACCGATGCCGTTCGGTTATCGGCCCGATACTGACTCAAAGAGCTGGATTGGGTATCGGTGACATGGGGCGGCTAATTCAACTACTTGAGTACTACGCAATGTGTCAGCATTTCCCCCGCAGACACAAACATTTTGCTAGGAGTGCTAACATAGCACAGAGGGAGCTAAAAACAAGGGGTCAGCAGTTTGGAGGTATTTCACTATTATTATTTATATATTGCTACGCCAATAATAACTTAATCAAGCACCTCCAGAAGCATCATGCCAAAGAGCACGACTCCCAGTCTCCTTCTGACAGTGAAGAATACAGCTTATTAATTCTGCACTGGTATTAGATCTGTACTCTGCATCGGCTGATACCCAAAGCCCAGGTATTGGTATCGGGACTGAAAAGGTCGGATCGGTGCATCCCTAGTCAAAGTTTCTTAGATCTCAGTTTACATGTCTGTTGCAGATAGGCTTTTGTTATTCGACGTATTCACTCAGCAGCAAGATAAAGTGAAACACTTCATCATATCAGGCACAAAATAGACAACAGTGTCCACAGTGTACAACTCTATTACTGACAAAATAATAATAGTGGTATGAAATGGTGTGTATTTTATTCCCATGTCACACACATCTCTTAAGTACTTGATGACTGAGTGTCGCTGGAGGAAACCACTGAGGTTGACCAATGTAAAAAACAATAAAATTAATAATAATAATAATATATGTAAAATAAAATACAGCTTGGCATGCTTGAAATGGACAACTCTGTGGCTTTTCCCGAAATTTTGGCTTCTCTTCCCTTTTTTTTTTTTAGAACTACAGGCAAAACTGCACATTGTAAATACTGGAGTGGCTACAGCTGACAAGCAACGGGAATGACAGATCCCGGAAAGGGCCCCAATATTTAGACTCTCCTTACCACACAGTCTTTTATTACATGTAAAAGTGGGTCCAAAATATTATCAATGTTAGTACGATTTTGTAAACTTGTAAAAATGCTGATGTATTCAAAAAAAATTTTGACACAGTAAAACCATAAACATACAGCACCATAGGCCTTTCTTCACTGAAAACACAGCCAAGATTAAATTTAACTGGTGTTAAAATACATACAATGGACATACTGTTATACCCACAGTTATATTACACTGCTACATTTTACCAAAATGTAAACACAAGCAAAAACTATAATAAAGTGCTCAGTTTAACTAGTCTAATTCAAATCTCCCTCATGAAATGTCCTTTGACATTCACTACGCTCGTGTGAAGTACATTGGCTTATCTTGTACCACTACAGGAAAAAAATAAATGATGATAATCTTTCCCAGAAGCCAACACCAGACATTCAGATTTGCTTTGGTCTGCTGATGCAAACACCTGACCAGGCATACACACACACACACACACACACACACACGTGTATACAAAGAAGATTGTACAACGTGTTTAGCTTCCAAATCAAATCTCCCATTACATCCTGTTGTCTTTAAAAAAAAATACTTGATTGACACTTGCACAGGCCTTTTCTACAAATCTGCACTCTCAGTCTAAGCCTGGATCTAAAAAAACAGTACTCCCAACCAGACGAGGATTTGCTTTGCAATACATAAGCGAGATCACCCTGAGCAGAACTGCAGTGGAAGCTCCCTTTCATCATTACTGCCTTTAAACAAGGATTATTTGCACATTTTCTACATATTTTTTGTATCCAGTGGAAGTGCCGGATGCTGTAGTACTACACGATACGCTGACTTACAGCACTCATCCTCGCTGGTAGCTTGCTGTTGCAAACAAAGGCAACAACCCTGCCAACCCTGCCCCCACCTCTCATACCTGGTCACTGTTAATAGAGCTCTCCTCTGCGCCTTTGGTGTCTGGAGGAACCAGTGGTGAGGTGAGATTCAGGTAGCCCTGCTCTGATGGTTGGTGTGAGGACACAGACGCTCGAGCCGCATCCACCACCCCACGCTCGCCCACCTTCACGCGGCAGATCGCGTCCAGGATGTCCAGTGGGTCACATGAACCGGATGTCAGACTGGTGACACAGACGTGGTGGAAAAGGGTATACGTGGAAACTTATCAATATGGAATATGACAGAAAATTAAGTTGGCTATTCTTTAAAGACCTTAGCAAAGCTATCTATTTTTTCATCCAACAACAGAAATGAAGCTAAACCGCAAATTACAAATAAGGAAAACGCTCCCATGGAGGGCAAAAAAGACGTTATTTTCCGCTGCCTGCCGACCAATAAGCAAGTGATACACTGTTACTTCGAGTTTGTTACTTTTGTGTTGCCAAAATGCTAGATGGTTGTTGTGCTTTCGGATTTACTAATCAAGGAGGAGACACACCTGGGCTGTGTTAGGTGAGGGATTCCCCAGAAGGTAAAAGTAAACATTACTGCAGTCGGGCAGCGGCAGGGACCTGGCGATTTTTGATGGTAGAAATGCGACAGCGGATGCTGTAACGTTGTATGGATCAGATATATATATATATATATATATATATATATATATATATATATATATATATATATATATATATATATATATATATATATATATATATCACTTGCAGTTTGTGTTCATATCCTTCTTTTTCTTAAGTTGAAAGGTGATCCAAATAAAATTTAACTGCTTTTGCGGCGTCTCAACGGGGGAGACACAGTGTTGGTCTGTTGTTTTGCCCTCCAGGACACAGTGCATGACTGAAAACTACGAATAAACGATGTCAACAGATCAACTAGTTCTCTCAAAACCGCCTCACCTTAGTGTAGATGTATGCAGGATGCCATCACAGATGCTTTCTGAGGGGAGCGCTTTCTTGACATTCTGTTTAAAGATTTAAACACATCAATCAATCAATATTAAAATAAAAGAAGGGGCATGTCACCCTTTTTACACTAGGTCAAGCCACTTCTCTTACATATAAACCTACAGCCTCAGCCGTATAGAATCCACCGTGCACCATTTTCACACTTAAATTAGAAATTCCTCATCTCGCATCACTAATACTGTTTGAGTTGTTTTTAAAACAATAAAGAAAACCTGTGACTTTTGGGTGGCATGCCCCATTAAGGCATAAAGATCTGTATGGTGTTACCTCCAGGCTGTAGAATGACTGGACGTTCCTCAGGGCACGCTCTAAGGAGCTGACTTGATTGGAGAGCTTCAGGGTTCGATCCTGAAGTTGTCTGTTTTCCACTTCTAAGACATTGACCCTAGAACACAGATTATTGTTCACACTCCCTAAAACTTTTAAGCAAGACTGTCCTGTATGCCCTCACCAACACGTGTAGATTATAGACAGTGACTTTGCTTTTTACAGTTTTCATTTATTAAGAAGTTTTCCTTGACGATAATATTTAATATTTGATTCCGCTCAATGACTGCAGCAATGAGACACTTCAGTCAACTTAACCTACATATAATGATTTGATATCCAATTATAATACTTGATCTCCACTTGGGCAGCAGGTATGAGTGTAAAAAGATATTCCTTAGTTTGATTCATTAAGATACCTGTGTTGGACAGTGGAGGCGGTCCTCATGCCTATGCTGCCCATTTCCTCTGCCTCGCTAATCTTACGCAACAGGTCTCTCTTCTCCTCCAAAAGCTTCTCATTTTCCTCTGTCACTGTATGGATCCTCTCCTTCTCCTGAAAGCCACCAGAGGAGGAGACGTGAGAAAGAAATATACAAAAACAGACACTTATTTTTCCAGGCACAATCATCTCTTGTGGGATAATTCGCTTTCTGCGTCGTGTGTGTGCAACCTTGTGTGAGAGGCTGGTGGCCAGCGCCAGGTCGTTCTCCAGTTTCTGGATGATGTGGTCCCTCTGTGCAGTCGCCCTGAGAAAGACCTGCTTAGCCTGGCGCAGCTTGATCTTGTGGTGACTCTGCTTTTCGTTGTACTTCCTGGTTGGAGGAACGGTGGAAATTAACCACAGCAACAACTTCTCCACATCTTAATTACTGATTATGTTAAAATCTTTTTCAGCTGATCAGAAAAGACATGGTAACCTGTTTTTTTCTCTCTCTCTCTCTCTCTCTCTCTCTCTCTCTCTCACACATACATACATACATATATATATATATATATATCTGTGCGCATGTGTGTCTCACCTGACTTGTGTGTCCAGTTGGAGGAGAACTTGCTGCAGCTCCCCCTGTACTCTGTCACACTCCTGCTGACTGGCCACCAAGTCCTCCTGCAGTTTGTGGCCTGACTTCTGGCTGTCTTTTACCTGGAGGATACATGGAACACGGACGTTTCAATATATTCTAAACTGAATCAAACCAATTCTGAGGCATTATCAAATCTAACTATATACACAATAAATATGGCCAGCAGCTTAATATGAAGACTGTGTCTACATTTTAAAAATAACAGCCACAGGTCAAGCAGCACTAAATGATTACAGTTTTAGAAAAAGCACAAAAACATATGATCACAGTAAAGACGATTCTATCACCCTGCTTGTGGGGAATTTTCTGGGTTGCACCTACTGATTGAAATCAACAAACTGCTCAAGACTGTGTAAATGTTATTTTGTATATGACCCGTCACCTCTGAAAAAACAAGGTGTCACATTATATTACACTCCTATAAACTGATGAGAACTTAATGAGAAATCAAATTAATTCAATCTATATAAAACTGACTCCTATGGAATTGAAATTACATTGAAGTGCAGGCTGAGAACTTGTCAACGTATATAGGGTGTGAATCACAAAATTTTGAACAAACATTTAAAATACAATGTTCCTTACCTCCTCTCTGGCCTTGCTAAGATCAGCCTCCAGGATGGCCAGACGGG